AAAATTCTCACCAAGGAAAAGAGTACAGAATCATCACCTAAGTTACCTAGTCATTGTTACTGGGCTCTTCATTCTTCAAGATAGAGATGTTGAAGATGTGAGCTCCAGCCTCCAGTTGATCGATGTCCTCTGCAGCAATGAGTGTGTGAGCCTCCTTAGCCATCTCTCTAGCTCTGGAACGAGTAATCCTGCCAGCTACCTCTGGTTCCTCCTCCTCTGAGCTGGTCACGATCATATCATCCCTCAAGAACAACAACCCCATAGCATCTCACTTGTAAAATCTTCAAAGGCCAGACCACCTCGACTTTAACTTACCAGGGAACAGCTTGTGCCTTGAGTTAAACAGAAACACAACATCTCCCTCCTTGAAGTCCCTTTTCATTATCTTCTGATCATGTAAGGTCTTGGTCCTCTCCTTATAGATCCTTGAGCTTTCAGCTTCTTCTCCTGGGTATTCTTTATGTGAAAGTTCAACAGCTTGACAGTCCATAATGCCTTGTATTCAAGTTCTACACGCAAATTGCAGCTATTCCCATAAAGGGATATTGAATGGAGAAGTGCCAATAAGAGTTTTGAAAGCTATCCTGTAAGCCCACAAGGCATCATCCAATTTCTTGGACCAGTCCTTCCTTGATGAGCTCACTTTTTTTGATCTGTCTGTTTGAAACCTCCACCAGACCACTTGTCTGAGAGTGATAAGGGCTGGCTATCTTATGCTTGACTCCATACTTCTTAAGAAGTCCTTCCAAAGTTTTGTTCACAAAGTGACTTCCACCATCACTTATAACGATTCTAGTCACTCCAAATCTTGGAAAAATGATGGTCTTGAAAAGCTTTACCACCACCTTGGAGTCATTTGTTGGACTTGCTATAGCTTCCACCCATTTGGAGACATAGTCCACTACAACCAGTATATATTGATTATTATGAGAAGAGACAAAGGGTCCCATGAAATCAATTCTCCAACAGTCAATGAGTTCCAACTCTAGGATCGGATTTTGTGGCATCTCATGTCTTTTACATATGTTTCTTGCCCTTTGACAGACATCACACCTCAAAAAAACAGCTTGAGCATATTTGAACATGGTTGGCCACCAAAAACCTGACTGTAGTACCTTAGCCACGGTTTTAATAGCTGCATGATGACCTCCATTAGGAAGATCCATGGCACTCCAACAAAATCCCTGGAATATCTTCCTCACCTACTCGTCAGCTACACACCTTCTGTACAAATGATCTTTGTTAAGCACATACAGGTATGGCTCATCCCAAAAGAACCTCTTAATGTCCTTGAAAAACCTTTTTTCCTGATAGTTGCTCATTTTCTAGGGGCTCCACTTCACATGAGAGGTAGTTCAAAATGTCTGCAAACCATGGCAAACACCCTTCTTTGATGGACTTCATTTCTTCAAACTCATTCAAAGCCTTCACCACCATGAGCTGCTCTTCAGGGAGAGAATCATTATGAGGGACATCGGCTTCCACTCTTAGTCTAGACAAGTGATCAGCTACTCTATTTTCAATGCCTTTCTTGTCTTTGATTTCCTAATCAAATTCCTGGAGAAGCATAACCCATATCAGCAGCCTTTGCTTGGCATCCTTCTTTGTCATCAGATATCTCAAAGCTGCATGCATATGTATAGACCACCACTTTAGACCCCACTAAATAGGACCTAAATTTGTCAAAAGCATAGACAATATCCAACATCTCCTTCTCAGTTGTGGCATATTTCTCCTGAGCTGTGTCCAAGGTCCTAGTTGCATAGTAGATGACATGAAGCATCTTGTCCTTCTTTTGTCACAGCACAGCACCAACTGCAATCTAATGCATCAGTCATAATTTTAAAGGGCATGCTCCAATCTGGTCCTTGAACAATGAGAACACTTATCAGAGCTTGCTTGATCTTATCAAAAACTTCATGACACTCTTGATCAAAGAGGAATTCCACATCTTTGCACATAAGTCTTGTCAAGAGTCTTGCTATTGTCAAGAGTCTTGCTATCTTTGAAAAGTCCTTGATGAACCTCCTGTAGAAACCATCATGTCCTAAAAATCTTCTGACTCCTTTCACTGAATTAGGAACTCATGTTAACTATGACATCCACGTTGGCCTTGTCAACCTCTATCACAGCTTCTGAAACTTTGTACCCCAATACAATGCCTTCTTGCACCATGAAATGACACTTCTCCCAGTTCAGCACCAAGCTTGTCTCCTCAGATCTCTTTAGCACCTGAGAGAAATTAGACAAACAAGAGGAGAAAGAGGGTCCATAGATGCTAAAATCTTCCATAAACACCTCAATTTTCTCTTCTATCAGGTCAGAGAAAATAGACAACATACACCTTTGAAAGGTGGCTGGTGCATTCCACAGATCAAAAGGCATTCTTCTCTAAGCATAGGTGCCATAAGGGCAGGTGAATGTTGTTTTCTCTTGGTCTCTAGGATCGATTGGAATTTGGAAAAATCCTGAGTGTCCATCTAGAAAACAGTAGTAAGGGTGATTGGCAAGCCTCTCAAGGATTAAGTTAATGAAAGGGAGTGGAAAATGATGTTTTCTTGATGCAGCATTCAACTTCCTATAATCAATGCACATTTTATGCCTTGTTAGAGTCCTAGTGGGTATGAGCCCATCCTTTTCATTCTTTACCACTATCATATCATCTTTCTTAGGCACCACATGGATAGGGGAAGCCCACCTTGAGTCAGATATAAGATATATTATCCCTGCTTCAAGTAGTTTCATAATTCCTTTCTTGACCACCTCCTTAAGGTTTGGATTTAACCTTCTTTGGTGATTAATAGAGGACATAGAATCTTCCTCTGATTGGATTATGTGGGTACACAAGCTAGGAGATATCCTTCTAATGTCATCTAGGGTGATACGATCCTAGGTGATCAACTCTGAAGAAAAGGCAACAGATGCTGCGATTTGTGGACAGACTATAGCGATGAGGTGATGGGTGGTGATGATCAATTCGATGGTGGCGATGGCTTGAGAATCGAGTCGAAGATGGTGATGGTGGTTCAGCGGATCAAGTGCGATGAGAGGGTGGACGTGGTGTGATGATCGGTTGTGGTTGATGATGAGATGATATCGATGAAATGGAGGGATAGAATAATCTCTTGTAAACAAGTTAGTTTTTAAGAGATTTGAATTTCAGAGTTTTTAGTTCTCAGAAATCAAAGAGAGACGAACACGTTAAAAGTTTGATCAAAATTCTTCACTGAATATGACATAGGCGATTTTCTCTACTTTATAGAGTAAGAGAGAAAATCGCAGCCCTAATAACAAACTACACGAAGTCTGAAATAAAAACAACACGAAGATTGATTTAACAATAAAATAGTGAGGCGTCCCTTCTAAATCCTAAGTGGTGCGCCTAAAACAACTAGTGCACAAATCATTGTGACTTTGCACATTATTACCCATTAGTAACAACTTCTAAGTAACTCGACGTAGCAATGATTTCTGCCTCGTTAAAAACCTTGGAGAAGAACCTCCTTGCCTTCCAAAATCCTCACCAAGGAAAAGAGTACAGAATCATCACCTAAGTTACCTAGTCATTGTTACTGGGTTCTTCATTCTTCAAGATAGAGATGTTGAAGATGTGAGCTCCAGCCTCCAGTTGATCGATGTCCTCTGCAGCTATGAGTGCGTGAGCCTCCTTAGCCATCTCTCTAGCTCTGGAACGAGTAATCCTTCCAGCTACCTCTGGTTCCTCCTCCTCTGAGCTGGTCACGATCATATCATAGGGAATACCCTAAGGCTTTTCTATACTTCCTAAGCTCATTGATATGATCATGGAGAGCACTAGAATCATGGAGATAGAACCTAAGGAAGGAAATCTTGTAGCTGAGGAATAAGAGCTTGATCAAGAAGAGTCCTTAGTAATTCTGAATGGTCCCATGAAAAGATCAAGGACTAAGAAGCTTAAAGTAGCCGTTAGAGGAGTTTTAAGACAAGCAAAACATTCGGTTCAAGAGGGTAAAGAGTTCATTACAAGCAATCTAGTTGTAATCCAAGTCCAAGAAGCTTAGTGGACTTGTCATCACAAGCACTTAGTGTACTATTTTTTCCCACCACTAGTTTGTCCCAATGGGTTTTCTAGTGATGGGTTTTAATGAGGAAAAGTTGTGATATGATCACGACAGGCACAAGGACAGAAGGAGAAGAGGAGACGGATGAAAAACTTGAACCAGAGCTTGAGGAAGCTAAAGATATAGCAAAGGGGCAGCTTGAACAAGAGGAGAAATAAGACCCACACTTGCATATGCCTCTCAGACCAATGACTCGATCAAGATTGGCTCAATTCAAGCAAACTCTTCACCAACTCCTCCATACCATCCAACTACATTGGTTGTGACTCAAGCAACTTAAGCCTTCGTCAAGAGAGGTGTTGTGACTTGCACTCTTTTTCCCTCCTCTTAGTTTTCTTCCAATGGGTTTTCTAAGAGAGGTTCTGAATGAGGCAAGGCCACAACACTTAATTCAAAGCCTCTTGATGAAACTCGGCCCAACTATATTCCTTATCCGAATTCAAGAGAAGCAAAGCGCCTAAATCTTATGCTGCGAGCTGATATTCAAGAAGATAGAGAAGCAACTATGGCTAAATTTATGGGAGGATTGAATAGAGAAATCATAGACAGATTGGAGGTTCATCACTATGTCGAGTTGGAGGAACTTCTACATAAAGCAATCATGTTCGAGAAACAGCTGAAGAGAAGAGGAAACAAATCAAGCTACGGATCTAGCAAACCAAGCTACCAAAAGGACGAGAAGGCCAGCTTCTACAAGGATCTCAAACCGTTTTCAAAGCATAAACTATAAGACCAGTATCTCAAGGGAAAGGACAAACCGCCAACTTCAAAATCAAGAGATATTCAGTGCTTCAAGTGCAAAGGATTCGGTCATTATTCAAATGAATGTTCCAACAAGAAAGTTATGGTTCTAAGAGACAATGGAGAGTTGGAATCTGAGGATGAGCAACCTGAATACGAATGGAGCATATAGAGTTGCCGATCAAAGGAGAGTTACTGGTTAAAAGAGGAACTCTTAACTTGCAAACAAGGACTGAAGGAGATGAACAAAGAGAGAATTTATTTCACACTCGCTGTGTTGTTCAAGAAAAAGTTTGCAGTTTGGTCACTGATGGGGGTAGCTGTACTAATTTGGCAAGTGAATCTATGGTGGAGAAGCTTGGTTTGAAAGTAATGAAGTGCCCTATGCCCTATAAGCTGTAGTGGCTCAATGATCAAGGAGAATTGGAGGTTGAGAATCAAGTGATGGTGCCATTATCTATTGGAAAGTATGAGGACGAAATACTCTGTGATGTTTTACCAATGCATGCTGGGTACATCTTGTTTGGAAGGTCTTGGCAATCAGACCGAAGAGTAAATCATGATGGATTCACCAACCGTTATTCGTTTGAATGCAAAGGAAAGAAGATTGTTCTGGTTCCTTTAACACCTCAAGAAGTCCATCAAGACCAGATGAGTTTGAAGAAGAGCAGAACACAAGTAGAATCAAAAGCTAAACAGTCCACAAATCTCATGATTAAGAAACCAAGGGAAGTTTGAACCCTCATTTGCTCCTTCTTTTTAAAGAATGTTTAAACCTGAAAAAAACAATGCAGGAAATGCCTAGCAAGATTTGGTTTCTTTTACAGAAATTCAAAGTTGTATGTCCAGAAGAGAACCCTCAGGGATTGCCACCAATCCGAGGCATTGTGCATCAAATCGATTTCATCCCTGGAGCTTCTCTTCCAAACAAACCAGTGTATAGAACTAATCCTTTGGAGACCAAGGAGTTACAGCAGCAAGTCAATGAGCTTATGGAGAAAAGCCATATTCGTGAGAGTATGAGCCCATGTGTTGTTCCTGTCTTGCTTGTGCCAAAGAAAGATGATAGTTGGAGAATGTGCGTTGATTGCAGAGCCATCAACAATATCACTATAAAGTATCGCCATCCTATACCTAGGTTAGATGATATGCTTGATGACTTGCATCGATCTAGCATCTTTTCTAAGGTTTATTTAAAGAGCAGTTATCATCAGATTAGGATGAAAGAAGGTGATGAATGGAAAACTGCATTTAAAACAATACAAGGATTATATGAATGAAGACTTTCATGGTCTGGCTGGGTTCAAAGACAAAGAATCGGGTGTGGCTGGGTTCTACAGAAGACTTATCAAGGATTTCCGTAGCTTAGCAGCACCACTCACTGAAGTAATCAAGAAGAATGTTGGATTCAAGTGGGAGCACGCTCAAGAAGAAGCCTTTCAAGCGTTGAAAGAAAAGCTCACCAATTCACTCATCCTTTCTCTTCTTGACTTTAATAAGACATTTGAAATTGAATGTGATTCTTCTGGTGTTGGTATAGGAGCTGTGCTTATGCGGGAAAAGAAGCCAACAGTATTCTTTAGTGAAAATCCTGGGGGAGCCACTTTGAATTACCCAACATATGATAAGGAGCTGTATGCGCTCGTGAGAGCGTTGCAAACGTGGTAGCATTACCTCTGGCCAAAGGAATTTGTTATCCACGCCGATCATGAATCTCTCAAGCATCTCAAAGGTCAACAAAAGCTGAACAAGAGACACACCAGATGGATAAAGTTCATTGAAACATTTCCATATGTGATCAAATACAAGAAAGGTAAAGATAATGTTGTTGCCGATGCACTATATCGGAGGTATGTTCTCTTGAACTGTTTAGAGACTAAGTTACTCTGGTTTGAGCATATCAAAGATTTATATGCCACTGATTCTGATTTTAAAGATCTCTATGCTTCTTGTGAGAAGTTTGTAAGCGGAAAATACTATAGAACTGATGGTTTTTTCTTCTTTGAGAATAGGTTTTGCGTGCCTAACTCTTCTTTGAGAGATTTGCTTGACAAGGAAGGTCATGCGGGGGGATTAATGGGTCACTTTGGTGTGACTAAAACAATGAAAGTAATGCAAGAGCACTTCTTTTGGCTGTGCATGAAGAAAGATGTGGCGAAAACATGTAAAAGGTGTACAACTTGTAAGAAAGCTAAATCTAAGCTTCAGCCGCACGGTTTGTATACTCCTTTACCTATCCTAATGCATCTATGGCATGACATTTCAATAGATTTTGTTGTTGGATTGCCTTAAACTAAGACCGGAAAATATTATGTGTTTGTAGTTGTTGATAGGTTCTCTAAAATGGCACATTTCATTCCCTGTCACAACCGATGATGCCATTAATGTTGCTGGATTGTTCTTTAGAGAGATTGTTAGATTGCATGGCATGCGTAGAACCATAGTTTCTGACAGAGATACTAAGTTTCTTAGCTACATTTGGAAGACTCTTTGGTCTAAGCTTGGAACTAAGCTTCTCTTTTTACTACATGTCATCCGCAAACTAATGGTCAAACTGAAGTGGTTAATAGAACCTTATCTGCTTTATTGCGTGCATTGATTAAGAAGAGTCTAAAGACTTGGGAATAATGTTTGCCTCATGTAGAATTTGCTTATAATCATGCTAAACATTCTACATCTAAGTACTCTCCTTTTGAAATTGTTTATGGTTTCAATCCTTTATCACCTTTGGATCTAATGCTTATTCCTGTGAGTGAAAGAGCTAGCTTAGATGTGAAAAAGAAAGCCGAACTTGTCAAACAGATTCATCAGAAGGCTCGGATCAATCTGGAAAGTAAAACCAAACTCTACGCTAAGCATCCTTACAAAGGCAGAATGGAAGTGATTTTTGAAGAAGGAGACCTGGTTTGGATACCTTTGAGGAAGGACAGATTCTCTAACGATATAAAATCTAAGCTTATGCCTAGAGTAAATGGTCCTTTCAAGATCACCAAGAAGATCGATGACAATGCCTACCAGCTGGATCTTCAATGTAAGTACAATGTAAGATCAAGCTTCAATGTTGCTGACTTAGTCCCTTTTTGTGCAGAAAACAGATTTGAGGACAAATTCTTTTCAAGTGGGAGAGGATGATATGATCATGACTGACACAAGGACAGACGAAGAAGAGGAGACAAATGAGCAGCTTGAACCAGAGCTTGAGGAAGCTAAAGATATAGCAAAAGATCAGCTTCAACCATAGGAGAAAGAAAACCCAAACTTGCATCTGCCTCTCGGACCAATGACTCGATCAAGATTGGCTCAATTCAAGCAATCTCTTCACCAACTCCTCCACACCATTCAGGGTAACCTTGAGTGTGCTTATCCAACTACAATTGTTGTGATTCAAAGCCTTCGTCAAGAGAGGTGTTGTGACTTGAATTCTTTTTCCCTCCTCTTAGTTTTGTCCCAATGGGTTTTCTAAGAGAGATTTTTAGAGAGGCAAGGCCACAACACTTATTCAAAGCCTCTCGATGAAACTCGGCCCAACTCTATTCCTTATCCGAATTCAAGAGAAGCAAGGCGCCTAAATCTCAAGTTAAAACTCTGTTCTAATTTTAGTCTTTGTCATTTATTTATTTTCTGTTGTAATTTCCTATGCATTTCAAACTGTATTTGTGAGGTTCCTTGGCTTTCATTTCAATCTAACAAACATTTCCTTCAAAAATCTCTCTGAATTCGTTTGATCAAGCTTGATTACTGTATTCGGATTTCCATCCTTGCATTGCAAGCCCCCGTGATAGTCTGAGAGTTTTTTGCACCTCTTAGAAGTATCCATTCAATCCATTTGAAATAAGGTCCACTAAGTTCAGCCCAAAGGGATTCGGCCAAGAGAAGAGGAGCATGTGAAGATATTTGAAATTCAACTTAGACAGCTCATACTTCTATTTCCTAGACATGTTTATTGCTTCCGCCGAAACTCTCTACCCCTTTATATTCCTTGTAATCTCATTTGAGAACTCATCATTCTTTTATCAAAAACCTTTCTAAGTAAAGATCATTTGTTCTTTGAACATCATAGTTTGTGAGTGTGTCATATCTCTCAAACACCCGATTCTTAGGTGTGTAATATCCTCAGAATCAAACCGGTAAATCAAACGTCTTCCGCAGCCTTTGTGTGACCCTTCAATCCATTTCTTTGTCTTTGAATCCTTGGTGTTTCATTGCACAAGTTTATCCAGTCCAGTCTTTAGAGTGCTGATTCAGGGAGGATCATATTACTCATGCAACAGGGCTTTCTCTTCATGCTCTAACAACCTATCATTGATTATGACAAGAAATAATGCATTAAGTCCAAGAAAATCATTGCTGAGCCTCTTTGGGAGTGGCTTTAACTTAATAGATGGAGCTTTGTGTTCATCTTAGTCTCCCATGAAGCTCTCTTGATCAGCCTGAGCTTCATTGTTGTTGGTGTCCTCAACCGGTTTAGCCTCTTCTTCAGCTTTCAAACCCACGGCCATGTTTGAACCGGTCCCTTACTTGCACTGACCAAACTGATACACTGATCCACTTGGCCGCTTGTCTCCAGTTCCAAAAGCTGAATTTCTGATCCTGCTAGCTTGTGAGAATCAAAAAGCTTCATAAACCCAAGGGTCTCATCCTCCAATTATCATACTCACCATGCTCTTTAGTCAAGACAATTTGAAGATGATCTTCAGTGTGTAACACTTCAAGAAGCTCGTCAGCAAGCTCTTGCATGGATTTTATATAGAATACCTAGCCCTCAATGGTAGGTTTCTTCATGACTTCATTAATATCAAACTTGAGGACCTCAGATCCTAGATGGAGATCTATATTTCCTCCTCTTACATCAATTATGGCTCCTTCTGTAGTAAGGAATGGTCTCCCCAAAATGAGAGGATCTACAGGCTCTTTATCCATCTCTAAGACAATGAAGTCAGTAGGGACTTCAAAATCTCCAATTTTAACAGGTATATCTTCAAGGAGTCCAATGGGGAGCTTAAGTGATCTATCAAGTACAACAGATATTCTTGCAGGCTTGTAGACTGTGAACCCTAACTTCTTTCAATAGAGAAAGGCATTAAGCTAACTGAATCTCCAAGATCACATAGGCAGCTGGCAAACTTAAGAGGACCAATAGTGCAGGGTGATAACACTGTATTTTGACCACTTTTATGGATCATAATGATGTCTTATGCAGGTGTTTTAACTCTGTTTTCAATGGCTTTTAAAGTGTTTTCAATGTTTTAGAGTTTCAAAAGACTTTTCAGGAAACTTGGACAAAAGATATGTAATTTAGAACAAATGAGCAATTTTGGATAAATGCAGACCGTCAGAAGTATGGGAAATGATGAAGACCTTATCACGGTCTGATCATCCCCAAAATATGTGACAATATAGAGGATACGAAACGATTTCTAATGCACTTAGTTTGAACATAATCCAACGGTTAGATCTTCAGATACCCCTGATGCAATCAAGACAGAAAATGCAGTCTCGGAAGGAGGACACATGTCGGGACCGCGGCCTAGCTACACACGGGTAGGAGCACCGCGACCGCGGCCAGTAGTCGCTCACTTCCCAGACGACCTAATTAAAGCCCAAATCAATTCCTTTTATTATTTTTGAAGCCCTAAGGGTCCAAGACAACTCCAGAAGCTATAAATACCCTCTTTATGTCATTCTAAAGGAGGAGATCGAAGGAGAGAGTCTGTGTACGAGTTTTACAAACCCTAAAGTGAGAGAGGCCGCCGTCTTAGAAGAAGGAGCCGCCGCTGGAGAGCATAATCGCACCTCTGTCCGCTTCTCCATTCTTTGTTCTTCTTCCCTGTTTTCTTTAATTTCCTGCTAGTTTCAATACTTCGTGATGCTTGTTTACAATATGTTTGAGTAGTTTCCCTGTTGGGGTTTAAAGGGATTTTGTCAAAGGGAATTTCGTGTGTCTTATCTATGAATCGATCGATTTAGGATTTATAGTCTTCTAGATGTTCTTCGTTTGCCTTTGATTTTACTACGTGATTCTCTGTTGGCCACTTAGAAGCCTGATGTGGGTGCAGTGGCCAACACAAGTTTTACCCTAGACAAGCTGCAAGTGCACAGAAAATGCAGTACTACTTAGGAATCAAATACACATGGATTTGTGTGTTGAGGACTTCTAACTGATTCTAGAAACAATAGTAAACCTAATCTAATAAAAAGGGGTTTTGGTGTGTCACTAAATCTAATTATGCAGAGAATTAAATAGCTGGAAATAAAATCAGTTGAAAACTATATGAAAAACAGCGCTGGGTTTAAGGTTCATCTTTAGGGTTCATGTTCTAAAACACAAGGAATCTAGGCAAGGATTTTCTATGACTCTGAAACTAGGGTAGACACATGTAAGATTAGCCAACTATCGTCATCCTAATCATATAATCACTTGTTCATGGCAATCAACAACACTCTCTCATGCTAGAACAAGATCATGTTTTGTAGATCAGAATCTATCTCAGCTTACGTATCCTCCGTAGGTATCTTTCGTCTCCTACAACAGTGACGTCCATAAGATCCAGTTCAGGCAACCCATATACAACACTCTCGTGGCTCGGATTTAACCTAGGATTGGATTCTGGGTGATCAATCCAGAATTACCGCTTTGTGATTCGGATGAATGGAAGAATCATGTAAAAATCAAAATCATTTTCACCTAAAAAACCTAGATGTCATTCGAACATGGGATCCCTTTGGATTATCCTTTTACCCAACTAGGTGACTACTCAGACATGACTGAGATAGATATCAGCATCGGTTTAGAACTAGATAGAAGAAAAGTAAAGAAACAAAAGTTGTAGAAAAACTTTTCTTATTAAAGACAGAGTGGTGATGAAAAGCTTCTACAGATGCATAAAAATAAAACCTAAAACTAAAAATGAGTTCTCTCTTAAGGAGAAGAAAGAGGCTCCCTTACAAAAGACCTAAAAAATGAGTATTTATAGTGTTTCTCCAAGTCTTGGGCGTCTTGAGCTGCCTTGTAAATTGGGTACATAAAGTGTCTTGGGCCTTATTTGGGCTCCTGAGGTTCGAACATAGGTCCACCGGGGGTGAAACCTCTTGAGCCGCGGTGGGAAGAAGGTTGGCCGCAGGTGAAAGCTCTTGTGCTTGATTGAACTTGTGTTGATCGGCCTTCAGTACATTGATGATATCTGGAGATCTAACCGTTGGATTGCTTTGATTCCAAGTGTGTTGGAAAGCTGGTTGTCTGCTCTATAATTTCTTATAATCTGGGGATGATCAGAAGGTGAAAAGGTTTTCATTAGTTGCCAAACTTCTGACGGTCTGAATTTATCAAAAAATGTATTTTTCCTCCAAAATGCACTCCAAATCTCAAAGTTTCCTGAAAAGCCTTTTAAAACTCCAAAACATGGAAAACACTTGTAAAAACTTAAAAAGTGAGTGAAAACACCTGCATAAGATATTGAAAGTGATCCATAAAAGTGATCAAAATCAGGTGTTATCAACTCCCCAAGACTTAAACCTTTGTTTGTCCTCAAACAAAACCAAAGATCTGAACCTAGAAAAGAGGTTTGAAAATCAGAGGAACTAACAAAATCTCAGAGACCATGCTTCTAACCCAAAGTTAGTCATTATGCTCTAATCAGCGATAGTCTAGAAAATTCTGACCAAAGTACAGACATAACTAGTCCGTTGATCCGTCATGCGAAAGTCTAGACACTTAAACCTATCCTCCAGTCAACTAGCTCTTAACATTCATTTATAAGTTCCAGTGGTTCTCATCAAAAGGATTTTAGTAAATCAATCAAGGCTAGGTATTTAAAATGAATGTTTAAAGGGTTCTTAGTGTTTAGGGTACCTTTTCTGGAGAGACAAGACATTATGCAAAACAGCAAGAGATGATGGAACTGTTGATATCCACAGTTTCCAGTCACATTCTTCTTGCCTTAAGATTCTTGATCTCCTTTCTTCAGATTCTCCTCATGACTCCCCCAGACTTAGATTTTTGTCCAGGTTTTAAAATCAATGCTCACAAATGAATACTTGTAGCCTTTTCTTCAAAAAATTTTGAGCACCCTAGACTCTTTTAGGCTTTTTGTGTTTCCTTTCCTTTCATTTTTTTGATTTTTTTTTTTGAAAAGAGAAAATGCCTTTTGATGTAAAGTCTCACGGGGCACGAAATTTACCTTTAAGTTCAAGTTTTTTGAGGCACCATTAAGATTTGATAGGTTCTTGATGCTCCACTTTCCC